AGCGAAGATATCCGCAAGAGAGCATACGCCCGGCCAGAAAAGCTTGTTTACCCTTGGTTGAAGCGGATCCAACCAATCATAAAAAGCATCTGGAAGCACTCCACGCCATGTACCAACAGCAGTAGAAGCTAGCAAAAGGGCCTGTGTTATACGAGGAGACTAAATTGTCTGTCCAAAACTCGCGCAGCGCAGCACGACGTTTTGCCGCAACAGGTGCTGAGGTGCGGGGAAAGACCGCAGTGGGTTTGCGCGGCAGTAAAGGCTCCAACTCGAGGACTTTTACATGCATAGCCTATGGCCCAAAAAATAAAGTGAGTTGTTCTCGAAAAATGAAGGGCAGATCGGTGGTGTATCGAACGCCCAACTTGTGTATACATAAAATTCGCCATGTCGAAATACGTGGAGTCAAGTCAGAGAGCACCACGGGGAAGGCTGTGGATGCAGGCCGGTAAGCCGGCACAAAAGCAGTAGAGGCAGTAGTAGAAGCGGGGAGCATGCTGTCATCTCGAACCCCACTAAACAGGGGTTGCAGCTCAGGCCGCTGCCGCCACAACGTATCCGCCACAGAAAGAACTTCATGCACTCCCGAAGCAGACAAAATGGCTCGTGATGGGCATTTCATGTAAGAAAAATCGGGAGAATCACCGCGGCGCCCTCCTATGCGCGTATCACTAGCAAGGTCCCAGTCTCGTGAGCGACGAGCGAAAGCATCATGAGCCGGCATCCCGCAGGTAATCGCCAATAAGGGCGAAGTCTAAATTCTCGTGGGTGGTGAGACCTAACAACAAGCAACGTGGTGGTCGTGAGCAAAGCGTGCCTCGGCGCACGAAAAGGGAAGAATCGCGTCCAATTCTCTCTTACCGTGCCTGCCAGATTGACGCCAAGTTTAAAGGAATGCCCGCCCGACGGTGGCTTGCCTCCGAGATGTAGTAGATGTAGATTCTGCCGTAGACACTCTTGTCCACGAGCACGTTGAGATGGGAAGGTTGCTTGTTATTGCAGAAGCGGGTCTGCTACAGGTCTGAGGTGAGGCGGATTGCCCTCAACCTGGGGGCACGCAGATAGCTAAGTCCCGATGGGGTACGTCATAAGAGGGTATACCTCCTGACGTCCCCCATCTTAATCTAGACCGACTGTGTACCCTATCTGTGCCATACAGCAACACTCCTTAACACAAAGCTATTGTTGCAGATTTGAGTTGTGTTTTTGAATATTTTCTTGTGTTTTGGAGTTAGTTACTGAAAGATCGTGGAGACATGGCATAGTCACAAGCAGGGAGGCTGATAGACATACTTGTAGCACTGCCAAGTGGTTGGTGCTGGATGTTCCCATCGAATGAGGTAGAGCGGAATACCGGGTGACATGTGTGGTACGTAGAATGGATTCCAGGGAGGATGTACAAGGTACCCCTGTTGTATACGGCGTCGCCCCCTCAACGGTGCTTGTGTGTGTATATTGCTGTGCAGGCGGCGTAGTTGCCGTTCTGCTCATTGTACACACCAAACTGTCTAGCTGCCAAAGCAGGTGACCCTTCCCATATATTGTCTTGCCATTCATCTTGAGGAACGTCTCGATTTATTCTAGTCATCTTCCTACGTTGTTTCCCCCAGATAGGCGATGACAGTCAGCAACTGCAGGATATCCGCCATCGAGAGCGCAATCCCACTCCGGTTCCACGTAAGGTGACATGTTCTTCCTCCTAATATGGTCGTGGTGCACGCAGTCACTGACCTCGATGCCAGCCTTCGTCGATGGCCACCAACTGCTTCCTGAGGAGTTGGCCCCGTAAGAGTCCTGCAGATGGTTGTCCCCACAGACACACGTATGAACGAGCATTTTTGTCTAGATAAAATAACACTCGTGACTGTTGATTGGCCCCAAGACTAGTGCTGCTGGATGAGCACGGCTGACCCGGTTGACAAACGTGAAGAGATGGTTAAGACGTTTTATTGGTTGTCCTTGTAGACACAACCCACGGAAGAGAGTGAGCACAGGGTGCATCACAAACACCGAGGCACTCGTGCAACAGCCGCAAGAAATTCCCCGCAGAAAAGACGCATTCGGAACTCGGAACACGCGACAGCGGAACACGTGACAACTTATCAAAGATATGATCGGAGATACCCCGAAGATCCAAGATCGGTGAACAGCCACTACTTGCGCACTTGCATGTAGCTCAAAACCACGCATGAGTATCGCCACAGTAGCCTTCGTAAGGATGGCATAATCCACCTCACGAACAGTGACAACCAAGGACGACAAGAAGGAAAAAACACCAGAAACAACGGCACAGGCTACGCTATAAGGAACACCACCAGCAGCAACGGCACGGACTTACTGCACGGCATGGAACACTGAGCTGCCCTCTGTGCATCCTCCCCATATTGCATCAGTCGGTCTTACCGTTCAAGGAGGCGTCTCCTACTCAGGCCCAGCGAAAATTCAGTCGATCTCGCTTCGGGTGGTTTTTGTCGGCGATATATGGTCGCAACTCACCGCACAAGCCAACATGGGTCGACTTGCATGGTGAAGTTGAACCTTACGCCGCACACCGTGTGCGTCAAAATCCATCTCCCACAGCGAGCGACCCTCGTGCGTCCTGGCCAGGTGCAACACACACTGTATCTTTCCATATGCAGTAGAGTTGGACCAGACGCGAACACACCGGGTGGGACAAACCACCCCCAGAAAGCCCGACGCTCGTGCAGTCTAGTGATTCGTACTCACCTTGACCGCACGGTGAACTGCGACGGCACGTCGGTCACCGCGCGCGACAAGTTCTCAGAGAGCTCGACGCGGGTGCACTCTTGCGAGGACAGAGTGGGAGATGAGAAGACCTGCGAATGCAAGATGGGCAAGATGCGCAGGGGGGAAGGTGTTGTGTTCTTTGCCATATCGCAAGTGAGGGTGTCGCTTATAACCCGCTTGTTTAGGCTCGTTATCGTCACACAGCGGGAGGGTCGCGTCCTTGGAATTATCTCTCCCATCATTCCCAAACAGGTTCAGACCACGACAAAGTTCGGTTTTTTGAAGTTCGGCATCCGCCCTCGTGAGGCAAGTCACCATCGAAAACCTCTAGTAGCCCTAGGAGTGAGCGTGGCAAGAGAAACGTGATGTATGTCGGTCTCACTATGTACAGACGAACACCTTATGTCGATCGATTCGGAAAAAAACTTCTACTGCAGTACACAGTGTTCGTGGGTCTGCGAACATCGGTATTGGATACATGTGCTGTATGATTTGGTGTCACGCAGATTGGTAAGATTTCCGTTTGGTAGGAGGCACCGCAATGATTCACGGGGCCCCTCCTTGTTGTGGAAGCTGCCTTGTGGGGTAGTCCCTCTTTCGTCCGTGTGATGGACGGTCGTCTACCTCTCGTGAAGTGTTTGTGTATGTACTCGGCAGGATACAGATCTCCGAGATATCCGAGGGGGTACGCATATATGATAGGTTTGGGTATATGCAGACGTGTGTGCAGCAGCAGGTCCTTCTTGCCTGCTGCTCATGCTTGTCACTCGTTACTAGTTAATCAAGAAACTTGAGTCACTCCTTTGTGCAACACGCTCTCGACAAGAGCCCGCGAGCGTGATAACATAGTACACGCGCCGACACCTCAAACACGATGGCGAAGGCGGAGATAGCAAAGCTGAAACAGGCCCACAAAGAGGTGGAGGAAGAATGGAAGAAAGAAGCGGCTGTGCATAGGGCCACTGCTGCAGATGCGACGCGTGCAGCTGCAGACGCGGCGCGTACAGAGCCCTCTGGTGGAGGATCAGGACCCGGGTATCAAACGGTGAGCATGGCAGACGGCGGTAGCCAGTTGATGAGCGGTCGTTTTGGCACTCGAAACCCGCCGAAGCACCCGAACGAACCGGGGAAGTTTATGAGCTGGTCACGGAGGATGCGGACTTTCCTCGCTGTAGAAGGTCTGGGGCAAACCCTTGATCACCAACCCCCTACTGGCTACGTCCACATCATCGGCTGTCCGGATCGCAACTACCCAAACCGCATTCATGGAGCGCCGCTGGTGACAGCACACTTGCGGGCGTGGGGGTACCTTGTGGAATCAACTAGCGGTTCGGACATCGAAGAAACGCTGTTTGCGTGTAGCTGCGTGCCGGAGGCGTGGACCGCTATCCGTGAATGGTCTTTGCCCACTACTGATGCTGAGCAGAGACTGCTTGAGCGACAGTTGGAGACTGTTGAGATGTCCCCTGGCGAAAACCCGAAGCTTTTCTTCGCCAGAGTCGACGGTATCGTCAACANAAATACCCGCCTCCTAACTTCCCGACGTGGGGATCTGGGGGACTCTATGACTGTGGGCGNTTGCAAACAATTTTCCGCCAGCTTGTGCACGAGTACGATATCGAACGCAAGTCCATCCTGGCCGACCCCACCATTTCCCGAGCGAAGGTGGAAAACGTTGTTCGCACGGCATACGCCAACAACGTCATGATGAAGGAATTGGGCAAAACGCAGGCGGCACCGGCGGCAGCGGTGACGGTTGGTGGGCTTGGGTCCGGTCATGGTGGCCACGGTCAGGGGGGACTACAACGGCGGTGGCGGCAACAGCGGGAGCAGCAGCAGTGGGTTCGTCCTCAGCCACCACCTGCACATTACCCACCTCCTAACTTCCCGACGTGGGGATCTGGGGGGCTCTATGACTGTGGGCGCAACGCTGTGTACCCGCAAGAGGAGTCAGCTTCGCCGCAGGGTGCTCTGATTGGTGTCGTTCATCAGTGCGTGAGATGCGGGAGGCATGGACACTCACTTGGCGACTGCAATGCGCCACGACGCTTTGAAGGCAACTGCACTGCCTGTGGTGAGTATGGCCATCGGCGCCGCATGTGTTGCACAATCGACCGCATGCAACAGCACGTGCCCGTCGGTGACGGAGAGGGTCTCAACGCGAATGGCAACGACGCTATGCCGCACCAGCAGCGGAAGCGACGACGCTGGAGGAGGCAAAGGCATCGACAGGAGGCGCTGCTCCCCGTGTTTGCAGCTGGCGCGGTGGCATGGGGAACAGTACCTGCGGCAGGAGCGACGACCGTTGATGGTGGTTTCCCCACTACGGTGACGGGGGGAACGGTCGGGGGGCAGGCGCTCGCGGCGGGAGCAGCGGCATCGACGGCAGCACCGGCGGCGAGAGCGGCGACCCCCGGCAGCAGAGTCTTGCCCGCGGCGGCGGTGTGGGAGCCGGTTGGGACGCAGGGAATTGCGGCTAAAGCGTCAGCAGCGCAAGAGCCGGAGGACGAGTGCGATGAGGATAGCTGTTGGTTGGGCCATGGCGACGAAGGTGGCAACAGTAGCGACGGCAGCGGTGACGGCGGCATCGGGGCGTTGTCCGCCGGTGCAAGGCATCCCGGCGCCCATCCGACCGTGAGCAATGGCATCTACGTCGTGCGGGACGATGGGGGGTGATGCCAGGAAGGGAGGATCGATCGTGGCAGAAGTGGGCGGCATGAAGTGAGAGACTTGGTGATCGGGATCTCCAGAGGAGGAAGTGAGAGAC